TTGTTCCTAAACTCCAGGAAACATAAATCAGGCTCTTTAGGTGGTTGGGTTGAAGACCTTGTTTTTTGACTGGAGTGACTGTCCTGATTTTATCCTGCAGCCCAGGAACCCCTCCCTCCTTTGCATAGGATGATATGGTTTGGCTCTGGGTCCCCACCCAAATCTCATCTTGAATTGTAACTCCCACAATTCCCATGTGTTGTGGTACGAACCTGGTGGGAGGTAATTGAATTATGGTGGTGGGTATTTCCTGAGCTGTTCTGGTGATAATGAATGAGTCTCATGAGATCTGATGGATTGTTAAGGAAAACCTGTTTTGCTTGGGTCTTATTCTCTCTTTGCCTGCTGCCATTCATGTAAGACAGGACTTGCTTCTCCTTGCCTTCCACCATGATTGTGAGGCTTCCCAAGCCACGTGGAACTGTAAGTCCAATTAAACCTTTTTCTTTGGTAAATTGCCCAGTCTTAGGTATGTCTCTATTAGCAGCATAAAAACGGACTAATACATAGCATAACTGTCCTCACAAAATCCTTCCTTAGTCTACATGCTCTTGACCCTTTTGCATTCTGATGAGAGCCGGGGAGGAGATGTAATCAGTTCTAGGAAAAGTGCTTTGAAATTTCTGCAGATTTTTTTTCTTTGAAACTGTGTTTTCTGATGTCTATCATGCCTTGGTGCCTCAGTTGAAACTTGTTGGCTAACTCATGAAACCCAGGTGATATTAGGCAGGAGTGGGATGCAATTTTGAATGAGGGGGAGACTGATCTTCTAGTTCCCTTCAATGAAGGTTTACTGTCAAAGCCCCAGTCCAGGTTTCTAGCCTAGCACCATGGGAGGAAGATCCCCGAGGGAGGATTATTCCAAGAGGTTTTAATCCCAGGATTATAGGATTCGACTTCTGGTCTACTCCTCTTCCCAAAGTACACCGTTAGCACCGTCCTCCCACCCCAGTAACCCAGATGGAGTTACCTGTCTATTTGGAGATCTAAACATTTCTTGGGCAGGTAAGAACACAAGGGACTAGCTCAGAGCATATTCTGTGTACTTAAATGTTCTACATGTTTGGATAATCAAACATGAATTGATAATAATAATGCTTATTTATGTGTAAGCATTATTATCCTTATGTGCTTTTCTAAGAGCTTTTCATGTATTAACTCATTTGATTTTCACAACAATTTCAGATGCTAAGTTCTAGTATTATTCTCATTTTTAAAATAGGAAGATGAGAAAATGGAGGCACAGAAAGATTAAGCAACTTGGCAAGGTCACATGGCTGGGAAGCGCATGGGAGTCTGACTCTATAGCCCACACTTAATCATCAAGTGATCCTGCCCCTACAAGACCCTGATACCAGCAGTATTTGAAAGATAACCAGTTATGCTGACTATGACAGAGAATGGACAGCATGGGGAAGTGAGGGTTCTGAGTTCTGAGTTTTATAGTCAGAGCTGGTTTTTGACCTTTGCTCTGCCACCAAGGTCACCAAGTTGTGCCACCAAGTTTGGCTGTTTAACTTGGAACATGTCACAGCTCTCTCAGAGTTTTTTTTTTTGAGGCTGAGTTTTGCTCCCTGGAGTGCAGTGGTATGATCTTGGCCCACTGCAACTTCTGCCTCCCAGGTTCAAGTGATTCTTCTGCTTCAGCCTCCCTAGTAGCTGGGATTACAGGTGCACACCACCACGCCAGGCTAATTTTTGTATTTTTAGTAGAGACAGAGTTTCATCACATTGGCCAAGCTGGTCTTGAACTCCTGACCTTAGGCAATCTGCCCACCTTCGCCTCCCAAAGTGCTGGGATTACAGGTGTGAGCCACTGTGCCCAGCCAAGTTGTGTTTTTATAAGGGTACGTAGCAGAGGGCCTGGAACACAGTACATGTCAGTAGATACTTTGTCCTTCTTCCCTCTTTTCACTGCCCATGAAACAACAATTTAGAAGTGAATCTGTGATCTGGAATCAAACAGATTCTTTGAGATGCCTATAGGGCTCATGCTAGAGATTGTTCAAGAGGTGGACTGACCTAAGGCACATGGACAAGTCAACAGTGTGCCCATAGGGCTCATGCTAGAGTTGTTCAAGAGGTGGACTGACATAAGGCACATGGACAAGTCAACAGTGTGCCTATAAGGCTCATGCTAGAGATTGTTAAAGAGGTAAACTAACCTAAGGCACACGAACAAGTCAACAGTGTGTCTATAGGGCTCATGCTAGAGATTGTTCAAGAGGTGGACCGACCTAAGGCACACGGACAAGTCAACAGTGTGCCTATAAGGCTCATGCTAGAGATTGTTCAAGAGGTGGACCGACCTAAGGCACACGGACAAGTCAACAGTGTGCCTATAGGGCTCATGCTAGAGATTGTTCAAGAGGTGGACCGACCTAAGGCACACGGACAAGTCAACAGTGTGTCTATAGGGCTCATGCTAGAGATTGTTCAAGAGGTGGACCGACCTAAGGCACACGGACAAGTCAACAGTGTGCCTATAGGGCTCATGCTAGAGATTGTTCAAGAGGTGGACCGACCTAAGGCACACGGACAAGTCAACAGTGTGCCTATAGGGCTCATGCTGAGATTGTTCAAGAGGTGGACCGACCTAAGGCACACGGACAAGTCAACAGTGTGCCTATAGGGCTCATGCTAGAGATTGTTCAAGAGGTGGACCGACCTAAGGCACACGGACAAGTCAACAGTGTGCCTATAGGGCTCATGCTAGAGATTGTTCAAGAGGTGGACCGACCTAAGGCACACGGACAAGTCAACAGTGTGCCTATAGGGCTCATGCTAGAGATTGTTCAAGAGGTGGACCGACCTAAGGCACACGGACAAGTCAACAATGGCAATATTTTAACAAGGAAACTTCTTTCCAAAGGAAACCATGTGGACTGTAAAAAGTATTTGTGATACTAAAATTATTTTTCTTTTGTAGGACAACTTGGCTCTTTAGGAGGGGTAAATCTTGTTTCTGGAAAGATTAAAAAACCTAAGGTGTTCGTGACTGAGGGAAAAGATGTGGCCCTTACTGGGGCATGTGTGTTCTTCATCAGGACTGACCCTTCTAAAGCCATCACCCCTGACCTGACAACATCCACCGGCTAAGGGGCAAGAGCTGTTGTTTACTCTGAATTACCAAAAATCAAACAACTTGTACACAAATATTCCTCCAGTAAAGGACAACCATTGTATTCACTACGGTATCTGAAACTCTTCAGAGAAGTATTTTTTAAAAATTTAAAACAAGAAATTAAGAGGACATTCCCTTTAAATCTTTTGAGTAAGAGGACTTAATATTTGATTTATTAACACAAATTGATACAGCCTTCTGGCTGTGTGGAATGTAGGGATTCATGTGCCCCACAGTTGGGCACCAGAATATAGGGAACCAGCTGTACATCACCCGTGGGTACCCTGAGTTCAGTGGGACAAAGGAATCAGAAAAAGACAGATAAGGAGAGAAGGTGGGACCAGGGGACCATCACTTTATTACTTTGGAGGAGACAGTGAAGTCCCCGAGCTCTGATCATCCACATTTTTATTGATTACAGGTGGAGTGAATCAGTGAGCCGGAAGAGAATCAGTGAGCCGGAACTGGTGTGTCATTCTAAGGACTGATAACAGTGGCGTTTTGGGAGTTTCACAAAACAAGAACACGTGGTTATCTTTAGCCTATTATCTATGTGCAGTTGGTGGAACTCAGGCCTTACAAGGACCCTACAAGTCTGGCTACATCATAGTGCTACGAAGGGGTTTTACGTCCTTGAGCACAATGTTTTTGGTAACAGAGCCGAGGTCACCCTGCACCGGAACATGAGGCATGGAGAGGCCTTCCTCCTCAGAGGCCTCCTGAGGCCTTCCGCAGTTTGTTGTTCCTTGTTTATATGTTACTCATAACCAATTTATGTAGTTACTCTGTAAGTCCTTTCTCCTTTGCTGCTTTTCCCAACATGTGTAACAGTGAGGGCTTTCTTCTTCTAAAGAATTCCCCATGCATAATTTACTTAGTGGTGAATTTTATACATTTAAGATAAGATATGTAACTTTCTTTTTTTGCATGAAGTAAAGTGTGTCTGTACAAGTTTTTCCTGTCCCTCTGATGGTGCACTGTCTTCTTGGAGCATATGAATTCGTAAACATCTGGCACTCTATTTATTGCATGCTTTTATTTTGATGATTATAATTTAGGATAGTATAAAGCTTATTTCTTTTTTCTTTTCTTTTTTTTTTGAGATGGATCTCTCTCTGTGCCCAGGCTCACTGCAAGCTCTGCCTCCTGGGTTCAAGCAATTCTCTGCCTCAGTTTTCTGAGTGGCTGGGATTATAGGTGCCCACCATCATGCCTGGCTAATTTTTGTATTTTTAGTAGAGATGGGGTTTCACCACCTTGGCCAGGCTGGTCTTGAACTCCTGTGATCCACACACCTTGGCCTCCCGAAGTGCTGGGATTACAGGCGTAAGCCATTGTGCCCGGCCTGCCTCTTATTTCTTAACCAGGTTGTCACACTAATAATTTTCTTTTTTTTGCTCTGTTGCCCAGGTTGGAAGGCAGTGATGCCTCTCGGTTCACTGCAGCCTCTGCCTCCTGGGTTCAAGTGATTCTCGTGCCTCAGCCTCCCGAGTAGCTGGGATTATAGGTGCCTGCCACCATGCCCAGTTAATTTTGTATTTTTAGTAGAGACTGTATTTTTAGTTTAACTGTGTTGCCCAGACTGGTCTTGAACTCCTGATCTCAAGTGATCCACCTGCCTTGGCCACCCAAAGTGCTGGGATTACAGGTGTGAGCCACTATGCCTGGCCCAAACTAATAATTTTCTGGGTATTTGGTAAACTGACAACATTTAGAAATGACTTAGTAGCTGTGTGGCATTTGAGGATCATATGTACAGTAAAGGATCTCCTGCTTGTCTTCCAGGAGGTGAGCTTTAACATGTTAGATGCTGCCGATGGAGGCCTGCTCAACAGTGTGAGGCGTTTGCTGTTGGACATCTTCATTCCTGCTCTCAGAGCCATGAGCCGGGCGAGCTTGAGGGCCTTCAGGACACAGCTCATGTCCGGCAGGAGTTCCTGAGCTCCCTGGAAGGCTTTGTGAATGTCCTGTCGGGTGCCCAGGAGAGTTTGAAGGAGAAGGTAAGGATGAATAAGCTGTTCCTTTAAAAATGATCACGTGGTCAACAAGTACAGTACGTGTGTGATGCGTCTCTTAGACGGTCTTAGTTCCTCGTGTTGCAGTTCTTCAAAAAATGTTGTAGGCAATTTTATTGCCCCTTCAAGATGTGGTGGTGATTAGATTCAAGTTTCCACAGTTTGTAATAATCATCACATTCAGGGGTTCCGTAAAAATGTTGGCAGTGATGCAAGACTTTACTCAGTTAGATGAGCGACTCCAAAGGCAAGAGTCCGAAATGCTGTGGCACTGCTGTGCATCCTAGAATGAAAGGAATTTGGAACTGAAGTGTGTGTGTGTGTGTGTGTGTGTGTGTGTGTGTGGAGGGGATGGGGGTGGCAGATGGAGGTGAAGGGATCCTGAAGGGGCAGAAGAAGGAAAGAGGAGTTGATATGTTTGGAGAGAACAAGTTGGATTCTGTGGTTCAGTCAATGATCAAAAGGGCCTTTAAGAATAATTCTGGCAGATGTGAGACTTAGCTTCTGTATGCTTTGTGCTGTTTATAAGTCTGGGTTTGTGATTACTTGGGGCGGCGTTTGATAGATGCAGGCATGTTTGTGTGTTAGTGTGTGTGTGTGTTTGTGTGTGTGTGAAAGAGATAGAATGAGAGAGAGAGAGAGAGAGAGAGAAAGAGAGACGACAAAGGAATAAGAGAGATGACAGAGCCCAGATTGGGCATGTAGGGGGAGGTAGGGAAATGGGTCCCATGGTAATGATGACAGTGTTACACTCTGCCCTGCTCTCCCAGGAGTGCTGATCCTGCTGGGATTGGGGAGGGGGCATTATGCTTTCCAAAGGTTGTAGAATGGGGGAGTTAAGCAACCTTTATTCAGGGAGACACAAGATGATTATGGATGACTCCAGCTGCCTGAGTTATTTTTGTGATTAACTGTTGGAGGCCAGACCAAAATGCAGGTTGAACCAAATACAAATGTTGGTATTCTATCTAAAAAAGCAGTATTTTTTTATATGGTTCCACTTCAGATTGCAACAAAAGTTTTAACAAAATGGGATGGGTGCCCAGGTGGGAGGAGGCAGTCTTTCTGAGTGGGAGAGGGCAGCGGGCTTTGGGTTGAATTGTGAGGGTGTGTAGGATCACAGGGAAGTGTTCGGAGGTCCCGACAGTCTGGGGCCAATGTGGACAAAGGCACGTGGGAGTGGAGAGGAGCTATGCGCTACCTGACAGACTTCCCAGAACACTGTCAGAGTGCAGCAAAGTGAAAAATAGAGGGCCCAAAGTCTGTGTGTTTTATAAAATCATCATCTTATTATTTAATTTTCATTCTGATTAGGTGAACCTTCGAAAATGTGACATACTTGAACTGAAAACCCTAAAGGAACCTATGGACTACCTTGACTCTAGCAAATAACCCTGAGACTTTGGAGAAAATAGAGGATTGTATGAAAGTGTGGATCAAACAGACAGAACAGGTAATTTTGAGAAAACAAATGTCAATTTCAGGTGCCAAGTTACTGAACTAGACAATGGAAGAAGATGTATTATCAAATGGCATTCCATTTGCTAAGAGTTTTTACTATAAATCCTTAAGGAGGTGAGAGGTCCAACGTGGTTTTTCATTTACTATCATGAATTAAGAAGAGGTAATGACTTTGTATACTTAGATCACTCAAAGGCTGCACTTTGCAAGTTTTTTTTCCTTGAAGTCTAATTTACTTTGGAAAGAACTGCTGTAGAAGCATGAGGAGTTTTCTATTTTAGCATGTCCTCCAAAAAGGAGCTGGAGACTTAACCTTAAAAAAATTCAGAAAAGTCTTAAATGAAGGAATGAAGGTGGACATTACATTAAAAAGTAAGCACAGTTAAAATCCATAAGGTTATGTTACTCCAAGGTCATAGAGTAAATGAATAGCCAAGAAAAATTCCTGAGGTCAAGGCCTTCGGAAGCTCATTACAGCTCATTAAATAGGTAGTTTTCTATTGCAGATTGGGTGACTGTAGTTAGCAACAGTATACTGTATATTTCAAAATAGTAGGTTGGTGCAAAAAGTAATTGTGGTTTTTACCATTACTTTCAAGGGCAAATTACTTTTGTACCAATCTAATACTTAGATGAGAGGACTTGAAATGTTACCTACACATAGAAACAGTAAGTAATCAAGGTAATCATATCCCAAATACTCTGATCTGATCATGACACATTCTATACATATAACAAATACTCACATGTACCCCATAAATATGTAAAATACATATCCTTAAAAGAAGAAAATACAAATGAAAAATCTCAAAATAACTCCCAAATATAAACTATTTTCTTTTTTTTTTTTTTGGTGGGTTGATTATAGGTTTTGGGGTACATGAGCAGAGCATGCAAGACAGTTGCGTAGGTACACACATGGCAGTGTGCTTTGCTTTTCTTCTCCCCTTCACCCACATTTAGCATTTCTCCCCAGGCTATCCCTCCCCACCTCCCCCTCCCACTGGCCCTCCCCTTTTCCCCCCAATAGACCCCAGTGTTTAGTACTCCCCTTTCTGTGTCCATGTGTTCTCATTTTTCATCACCCATCTATGAGTGAGAATATGCGGTGTTTCATTTTCTGTTCTTGTGTCAGTTTGCTGAGGATGATGTTTTCCAGATTCATCCATGTCCCTACAAACGACACGAACTCATCATTTCTGATTGCTGCATAATATTCCATGGTGTATATGTGCCACATTTTTTCCAATCCAGTCTATTATCAATGGGCATTTGGGTTGATTCCAGGTCTTTGCTATTGTAAACAGTGCTGCAATGAACATTCGTGTACATGTGTCCTTATAGTAGAACGATTTTTTGGATATATACCCAGTAATGGGATTGCTGGGTCAAATGGAATTTCTATTTCTAAGGCCTTGAGGAATCGCCACACTGTCTTCCACAATGGTTGAACTAATTTACACTCCCACCAACAGTGTAAAAGTGTTCCTTTTTCTCCACATCCTCTCCAGCATCTGTTGTCTCCAGATTTTTTAATGATCGCCATTCTAACTGGCGTGAGATGGTATCTCAATGTGGTTTTGATTTGCATCTCTCTGATGACCAGTGACGATGAGCATTTTTTCATATGATTGTTGGCCTCATATATGTCTTCTTTCGTAAAGTATCTGTTCATATCCTTTGCCCACTATAAACTATTTTCAAATGAGGAAGGCATAAGTGGTTTTCAGTGAAAACAAGTCAAATAAATTTTCGTTGGCATTTAAAAATGGATGGATACATGCTAAGTTAGTAAAAGATGGTTGCTGGAAGCATGGAATACACATATATCATGATCCAGATAGGATTCCTTATTTGTTTTGCTTGTGTGTAACTTTAGTATCTCCAGCCCCACACAGTGGCTCGTGTTTTCCTGTGCATTTGTAGGTTCTCGCTGAAAACAATCAGTTGCGGAAGGAAGCGGATGACGTTGGGCCACGAGCAGAGCTGGGGCACTGGAAGAAAAGACTATCCAAGTTTAACTACCTCTTGGAACAACTGAAAAGCCCCGATGTGAAGGCCATGCTGGCAGTGCTTGCAGCGGCCAAGTCAAAACTGCTCAAGGTCGTCAGCCATTTCATTTTGCCTTACGAAATGGGAAGGAGAATTCTCTGTGCATATTTTCAAGTCATAGAGTGATTAGGAACAAAAACATGTTATGATACCTTTATGAAAAACATTTTAAATTACGTAATATTTTTCTCATATAACTTTGGAGGCTGTGGAATAGTCTTTGAATTAAAGGTATTTGTTAGCTGGTCTACATGTATGTATATGTGTTATTAGAGGGCATTCAGAGCATGATAGCATGTGTGTGTGTGTGTGTATATATATATATATACACACACGCATATGTATATATATATATATACACACACGCATATGTATGTGTATATAATGATTTCAGACCAGCTAGAAATAATAATAATGAAAACTCACCATATTCATGTTTATTTTTTAGCCCTTGTATATTAGTTTTATATTGCAAAAAAACAACCCCCATTAGCAGCTTAAAACAGCCAATATTTTAATCTCACAGTTCATGGAACAAGAATCTGGGTGCAGCTTAGCTGGGTGCCTCTGACTCCAGGTATCTCATGAGGTTGCAGCTGTGATGTGGGTTCATCTTAAGACTCAACTTGGGGAAGATGTGCTTCTGAGTTCACTCATCTGGATGTTGCTGGATTCAGTTTCTTGCTGGCTGTTGGCTGGAGACTTCCTTCAGTTCCTTCCCATATGGGCCTCTCCATAGAGCAGCTTAGAACATAGCAGCTGGCTTCCCTAGAGAGGCAAGAGAGCACCCAACCTAGAAGCTACAGTCTTTAAACTAGTTCTTGAAGTGACATCCCATCACTTTTGTCATATTCTCCTTACTGGGAGCAAGTCACTAGATTCAGCTCACAATCAAGGAGAAGGGATGAATACAAGAGCTTGAATACAGGGAGTCTGTGGTCATTGGGGATCATCCTAGAGGCTGCCTAACTCACCTGGCATTAATGTTGGAAAGACTATTTGTTAACTATTTGCATGGGTGTTATTAGCTATTTGCATGTTTTGATACATGCAAATAATCTAAGCAATAATAATTAGTTGCTATAAATGTGCTATAGATTTACTTTGTATTATTCTTAAAAGAAATAGCAGAGGTGAACCTTGCTATATAGTTCAGAAATATTATCAGTCGGACTTCCATGAAGTCAGTGGAACGTATTGATGTGCTAAATAATTTCCTTTTACTTCTCTCACTATTAGATTATATTTTTATTTCTGAGTTCCTAGTAGCACAGTCCTGGCATACAGTTGGCAGATAATAAATATTTACTACATTAATGGAGAAATGTATAGGGATATAGGAAGGGAGGTCAGGTTAGAATAGCAGAAAGACAGAAAACATGGGAGCGGGGTACCAGATGGGTCTGGTAACCAGCGGAGGGGAAAAGGTGTGAGTTAAAAGGTAGGTGCTGCCTTCTTGGTACTCTGTGACAGTCATGGCATAGATTTCATATGCCATGGAAGAGATGCTTTAAAATATTCAGTCAAAAATTTTAAATTGCTTTCCAGCATAGCAATATCTCTCACCCCTCTGGATTCAGTTTTATGTGAGATACGCAGAAAGTCTGGCTTAATGGACTTGTGGTGACTCTTCGCAGTTGTTATGTTGGAATTTCCTCTATTAATAATTGCATTAAAATTGCTTTTCCATATTGTGCTTAGACTTGGCGGGAGACAGATATTCGAATCACTGATGCAACTAACGAAGCAAAGGACAATGTAAAATACTCTTGTATACACTTGAAAAATGTTGTGACCCTTTGTACAGCAGTGATCCAGTGAATTAAGGATTTCTGCTCTTTTAGTCTATAGATAACCCTTTTTTCACTAGCTGCACTGAATATTGAATTTTGGTTCATTGATATCACAGTCCATTGGAAAGGTCTTAGAAACTTTTTATTTTCTAATATATATATATGTATATATATATATTTCTAATATATATATGTATATATATATGCATATACACACATACACATAGATATCTGTATTTCTATATCTAACTCTAAACAATCTATCTACTATTTATTGAAGATATGTATGAGGTGTTATATTTTAAAACATTTATTGCATGTTACATTTTCCATTAAATGTTGCAAAGGACATTCTGAACTATATACCCCGAAGAACTGTGGGAAAAGTTGTTAACTGGTGATTTATCGTTTAGCTTTGGGAAGTGCCTGCTTTTACTTATTACAACATTAATTGTTATTAACAGTTCATCATTAACAGTTAACAGTTAACTTGATGTTCCTTGTCATTAACAGCAGGTCAATGATTCTTTCATTGAAATAACATTTGATTAACCATATATGACTAAAATAATAAAAGTACTATTAAATATATTATATTCATGCAAAGCATTAGATAGTATTTTTAGATGTTTAATGGAGATATCTTAAACTTTATTTTAATGCCAATGGAATGGTTAGTCTTAGAATTTTGCTCAATTTGATGATTTTTTTTTTCTGAAAACTTTGATGGTATCTTTCAGCTGTCCATGATGGATGCTATTCCTACACTTATAAATGCAATTAAAATGATCTATAGTATCTCTCATTATTATAACACCTCTGAGAAGATCACATCTCTGTTTGTAAAGGTAAGTGTGTGATGTAGAGGTCATGGTCGTTTATATTTCTTTGCCAATGATCAATTTATTGATAATTAAAAATTACCACATTGGCCCAGTTCAACATATATGTATCTTACCATTTTAAAAAGGCTAGGCTATCAATAGAGATAGAATTAAATTTATATCAGAGGCTGACTCTAGCAAATCATAAAGCATTATCTCCCAAAGTAATTATTATGATAAATATTTTATCATTTATATAATACAAAGGAAAAAAGATTACTTTTGGAATTTCTTTTCCTATGTGGTTGAGCACATCATGTATTCCTACTGGGTAAATTTTAATTAAGAAAAGCTATATTTAACTGGCTGTCTCCTGTTTCATATGCCACTGTTCCAAATTTATCTGATGCCGCAGTTGTTTACTTGGTGTTATTACAACAGTAATCATGGCAATAAAAGCCATTTGCAATGTTCTAGTAATCTATAAAGCAGTTATAATGATTCTGCCAAAAACATAACTATGCTTAAACCTTATGTCCTAACTCGTAAGTGTTTACGGTAAGCATTGTCACTATTCTCATTTTGAATGGTCTCTAAGAAATAAATGACTTTTTCATTAAATGGAAGAATTTTTGACTCATCAAGACTTGCATTCTGAATACTAACCATAGTAGGAGGCAAAATTCTTCCTGGGAATAGAGACATCCAGCCTTAAGAGCTCAATGGGAAACTTTTTCCTTCTGCTCTCTTGTAGGTAGTTGAGGTAAAAGAAAAAGGAGGGATGGCTGCAAGATTCCCTCCCAGCTTCCGTATACTTTAAAATTATATGTTAGGGTTGGGGGAGTATTCTCTGTGTAAATGAGACCCAAAAGTAAATTTGTGTGATTATTTTAGGTTTTATGCATATTATTTGCAAAACTTGATCTAGCATGAAATAATGAAACCACCATTTATCTAATTACAAAAAAAGGTTTCATTATGGAAATGTTGAAGTGGGTACAAAAGGAGAGAGAAATGTATACTGGAATGTCATGTACATATCACCTAGATTCAGCAAATAGCCACACATGGCTGATCTTGATTCACCCATACCCCCATACCCCCACCCCTTGCACTAATCCTGGCATCATATCATTCCATGCATACAGCATGGTCATTTAATTTTCTTTGTGTGTTATTCAAAAAATTAATAAATGAATAAAACGTTAGTGGTTTTGTATAGCATCTTTCCTTCTCTCTGTGGCCTCCTCCTTGTGACATTTCCATTGCTGATCATGGTCACATGGAAAGATCAGGGTTGACAGTATTTTAAATGGTGCTAATAAACTGTGAGTTAGATATTATAAAACTCATCAGTTTTTAGGTAGGGAAATGAATCCTTTCTTGGTTGGTTAAGACAATTCATCCTGTATAAACAAGGTGGCCCAAACTGTCAATTTTCCATGGTGCTTCCAACTCTGTGATTTCACAGACGATTTTGACAATATCAGAGGATCATTGGTTGATTATAATTGTATAAATCCAAGCTCAAGTTAGAAGATTGTGAGTTCTGAGAAGCAGAAGAGTTAAGGACCTTCTAGTCCAGAGTATAATCCATGGCTGTTTTGTGTAGTCATCATTTTATTGGAAAATCCCAGGTGACAAATCAGATTATATCTGCATGTAAAGCCTATATTACCAATCATGGAACCACTTCCATCTGGAACCAGCCACAGGATGTTGTTGTAGAAAAACTACTATCTGCGATTAAACTGAAACAGGTAATGGTCTGTTTAGTATTTAGATGTTCTGTTATTTTTATCTTATTTCTGCTGCTGAGACTATCTGAAATCATTTTGTAACTATTATGTTATTGGTTGCTAAAAAGAACAGTGATTCTTAACTCTTAAGAAAATTGAAAGTTACTATACTTTCCCAGAAAATTTATTCACTTATTTTTTTACCCTCCTTGGGAGCCTACTATGTCCTGATACTACACTAAATACTAGAGATACAAAGACAACTTATATAAGGTTTCTTAAGCATCTTAAAGATGAATGGAGAGAGAGAGTCATAGAAGGATGCTATTACCAAAATCGTGGGACCAAGATGGGAAAACCAGACCTTTGAGTTGTGTCATGAGTAACCAGATTAGAATCTAGAATTGCTTGATTAGAAGAGGTGAAAGATGACTTTCCAGGCTGATGAGTGAGTACACGTAAAGGCATGAAACTATAAAAAAGGCTTGCAATTCCATCCTAGTTTTGCTATTGCCTTCGCTTAAGAAAATAAAGTTGATACCTCTGTGGTTCCCTTTGTTGTATATTTTTCTTGTGATTTTAAGGAATACCAGCACTGCTTTCACAAGACAAAACAGAAGCTTAAACAAGATCCAAATGCAAAGCAGTTTGATTTTAGTGAGATGTATATTTTGGGAAAATTTGAAACTTTTCACCAACGCCTTGCCAAGATAATAGACATCTTTACAATCCTCAGGACGTATTCAGTCCTGCAAGATTCTACAATTGAAGGGCTAGAAGACATAGTCACTAAATACCAGGTATTGTACTTTAAAGCTGTATTTTCTACCATAATCCACAACTAAACTTCAATATTTTTGAGAATGATTCAAATCATCAGTTTGGAATGTAATATAAATAACCTCATGTCCTCTAACAATAAAGAAATTAGATTTATTTGAGAATTGTGTAATGGTTCTAATATCTTCTTTTCAGGTTTGTGGTTATAAGAATGACTTCCCAATAGTCTAAAATTAATCACCATTAAAAAAGCATTTTCATTAGTAGTACAGGGAAAATGCTTAAATGTAACTTATTTCATTTATTCATGCAAGAAATATTTAATGAAGACTACACTGTGTCAGGCACTAGTTGACACCAGGCATTGCATGGCACTAAATTATTTCTGCATTTAAGTATTTTATTTGGACCCATATTAAAAAATAGAAAGGACCTGATTTTATTCTAGATCGGACTTCCCTGATTATTTTGATTTTTAACTGCTTTATCTTGTGATGGTATCTGTGTGACTAACTTTAGTTTTGAAAGTAGACATGATGACCTAATAACATCTTGAAGATTTTAGAAATAAAACAGTTTGCTTTGAATTCTTAATGTAGACATATTCAATTTTTTTTCTTTTTTGGGGAACAGTGACACTAAATCTTAAATTTTTTTTGTATTTGAATTTGAAAAGGATCATATAATTAACCACTACTCACTAATTTTTTTAAATTGTACTTTAAGTTCTGGGGTACATATGCAGAACATGCAGGTGCAGATTTGTTACATAGGAATACATGTGCCATGGTGGGTGGCTGCATCCATCACCCCGTCATCTACATTAGGTATTTCTCATAATGCTATCTCCCCCCTAGCCCCCACCTGCCGACAGTCCCCAGAATGTGATGTTCCCCTCCCTGTGTCCATGTGTTCTCGTTGTTCAACTCTCACTTATGAGTGAGAACATGCGGTGTTTGGTTTTCTGTTCTTGGGTTAGTTTGCTGAGAATGATGGCTTCCAGCTTCATCCATGTCCCTGCAAAGGACGTGAACTCATCCTTTTTTATGGCTGCATAGTATTCTATGTATATGTACCACATTTTCTTTATCCAGTCTAACATTGATGGGCATTTGGGTTGGTTCCAAGTCTTTGTTATTTACACACTAATTTTTGTACTCTAACAGTTTAGCCTAACATAAGGAATCTTTTTCATTAAGTATACCAAGTTTTGGGAGAGAAAAAGAAAAAGACCTTTATATAGCAGGAAACCTTTAAAGTTTATTGCCACATAATAGGTGTGCAAGAAATATTTATCAAGAAAATAATTAAGTAGATTGAACTTGAGTAGTTGGTATAAAGGTCACAATCATTTCCTATTTAACTTAATAATCTTAAGTGACCATTAAATCCAATCACAGAGCAGGATTTTCTCAAATCCCCAAATCTTTAAAATTGCTACATCAAAATGTGGTAATGTAGCTTTTCCATACTTCTTTTAGACATTTTATTATTAGTTTTTTTATTGTACTTTAAGCTCTGGGGTACATGTGCTCATCCTGCAGGATTGTTGCATAGGTACAGCCGTGGTGGTTTGCTGTCTCCATCCCCCTGTCTCCCACATCAGACATTTCTCCTGGTGTTATCCTTCCCCAACCCCCCACCCTCCTGTCCCTTCCCTCCCCTGGCTCCCCACCTCCTAACCTACTCCAGTGTGAGATGTTTCCCTCCCTGTGCCCATGTGTTCTCATTGTTCATCACCCGCCTATGAGTGAAAATATGCAGTATGTGGTTTTCTGTTCTTGTGTCAGTTTGCTGAGAATGCTGGTTTCCAGATTCATCCCTGTCCCTAAAAATATAATACTATATGTGTGTTTATGTATTTAAATATATATACACACACACATATATACATATACATACACATATACATATGTATATACATATACATACACATATACATATGTATATACATATACATACACACACATAGAGTGTTATATAAAATGTCTAAAAGAAGCATGGAAAAGCTACTTCTATATGTATATGTATATATACATACACATACACTTTGTTAAGAAATATCAGCACTGTAAATCCTAGCCATTGTATCATTCCATGCATATATATATATATATAGTGTGTGTATATTTTATATAACATTTCATGCACACATACATATATATAATGTTATATAAAAACATATATATACACACAGTTTCTAAATAGAACTAATTTTGTAGTTATGCAGCATGAAAGAATAGGTTGTTTTATCTAGTAAACTTGATTCAAAAAGTTATGCCATTTATACACTTCTGTCTATTGAGAGATGTGATGTTTAAATGGAAGTGACTTTGAAGAGGAGATCGTAGAAGGGGGCCCAAAATTCTTCATAAAAATTATATGCCTCTGTCAACAATGTGGGCACCTGAGTTTGAGAATGGCTTAGTGCCTGGTTAAGAAGAATCACAGAGTATTATAGTTCATTATTCAAAGCAAACAAGGCTTCCGATAATAGTATTTTCAAGGAGATGAACTTCCTCGTTGTGCTTTTCTAGTCACAGGCTGCCGGGGCAGTAGAAAGCAATTAATTCTAGAGGGGTTTTAAGTGGTGGATTCTGGTCTGACATTTTTAAGAGATTTGTGGCTTGGAAGATAGTAACTTGTCTATAGATATAACATAATTATTTTCTTCCGATATCGTTTGTGTTCTGTGAAAGCCTTATTTATTTTCTGAGAAGATTTAAACTTTTCAACAAAATATTTTAGTAAATTATTCACTGGGCTTTAAAAGGGTATTTTAGATATGGCTAACAATACAATTTTAGTGAAAAAAAAATCCTTTCCCAATTTTCAGATGTGGTTTTTATTTTATTTTTTCAAAAATACATAAAACATGAAAATGCTTTCCAAGTGATTTCTTTGAATGCGTATGGCTGCCTTATACTGCCTGTAAAATAATAAGCATGAAACAATGTGAGTAAAAAAATAAGCCTTCCTTTAAACGGATTTTTTTGGCAATTGTTTTATAGAAGAATATTGAAATATTATCTAATTTATCTCATAATATTTCAGGACATTGTGGCAACCATAAAGAAAAAGGAATATAATTTCTTAGACCAGCGGAAAATGGATTTTGACCAAGATTATGAAGAGTTTTGCAAGCAGACTAGTGACCTTCATGTAGGTTGTATAATAAAATTCCTGTTGACAGTCATGTGTTTATTTTTTCCTTTCTGTATAATGCTGTTAATCATTACCCATTCAGAAGGCAGAGGTGCCTTCATCATGGAGGTGACCGATAGCAACCTCAGCCTGTGTTTTGTGATTTCAGATTAATAATTGAAGGCTGTTTTTCATGGATTAAAGGGTCATAAATATAGCTTTGGCTAATGATGTGGATCAGACTTCTACACGTCTTCCATTGAAGTTCTTAGAGAGTTAACTTTCACCTTCTGTTGAACATTGCAGTGTGATTAGAATATAGACACTTATTTCCATTTGTCACTGTGGGCGGCTCAGGCAAATGGTCAGCAATGTCTGTCAGATTCCAAGGCAGGCCTGCCACTGACCTTAGAAATGGTGGGACTGCTCAATACCTGGACCCTCTCTTGGTCTTGCAACCCCTTCCTCTCTTCCTTCTTTCCCTGCTCACTGTAGACTAGCCATCATGCCTTGCAGCTCATATGAGCAGTTTATGGCATCAGCAGCTGAGACTGTTTCACAGGACCAGGCAGGCTACAGATTCCTGGGAAGGGCTTGGGCTAGCCAGTTCTGGTGAGGTGCCTGGTCCTGCACCTCTCAACTGTGAGATCTTGTGCTAGACACTGGCGGGGTGGGATCCACTGGGTCATTGGGAATGTTGATTATCAGGAAAGGGGAGTCAGAGAGGGTAAGATGGGGAGACACCGGGCAGGTATCTACCATAATGAATATGTGGACATTTTTTCATTCCAGTGAGGTGCAAATGTATATCTTTCTGACTAAAAGAGTTTCCCAGAGTTTTTGGTTTGCATTAAATTTGTGCACTTCAAAGTAAAAGGAGCTCTGAGACACCTTTGGAGGAATGAGTTCAATGTTAGAATGAGTCGTAAACGAAGCTAGCTAATCCTATGTGTCAGGCACTGTTCTAAGCACCTGGTATGTGCTAATCCATTTAATAATTATAATAATCCTATAAAGTGGGTGCTCTTATTCCGCTCATTTTGCAGAGGGGTAATTTGGGACACAGTGAGGTGAAGTGGCTTGCCCAAAGTCACAGACATAACAAGAGGTGGAACCTAGGCATTCTGGCTTTAGAATTCAACTTTTTAACCATTGTGCCATGCAGCAGATGGGAAGGGAGAGTGCCTGTAATAATTTAAGCAATGACTTTTTTTGGGGGCAGATTCAGACCTAAGGACAGTGGATCTTGGTCTCTTTTTGTTAGAAATTGATGGAGAATGGCAAGTTCTGATGTTCCCCTGTGTTTCCCAGCCGTGTTTGACGTTACTGACGTAACTTTTATGTGGAACATAGATGGTGAGCGCCTTGAATGCAGGGATTATGTTTTATTCCTATATATTAATAAGAAGATGTAGATTTATTGCAATGAAACAGACATTTGCTATACGGCAATTATGTCTGGGTGTCTATGCTGCAGGTTATAAATATAGAAATAAATGAAGTAGATGTGCTCTCGCAGCTCATAGTGAGACAGGAGGCAGACGGTGAAATGATTAAAATGTAAGCACATATGAGTAATGAATGTAGCATTAAAAAAGGGCAGATGGGGCTAAAATGGCTAGTTATGAAAGAATACTATTCTGATATTATGTCAAAAAGTCAGGATTCAGAAGTAAAGAGATATAGCTCAAGTCCTACAGAGATGTATAGGGAGATCAGGTCTGTAAAACGTTACGTAGAATCTGATCTTGTGAACCTAGGAAAAGCTAATCTGATACTTCTGCTTGGCTGGGGTTAGGCTTCAGAGAGGAGGCTGATGCTGGAAAGATGTTTGTGTGGTTTTACTTTCCGTGGTTTCAATTACACATGATCAACTGTGGTCTGAAAATAGGTGAGTATCGTACAATAAGATGTTTTGAGAGAGGGCACATTCACATAACTTTTATTGCAGTATGTTGTTAAAATCGTGCTAGTTTATGATTAGTTATTGTTGCGAATCTCTTACTGTGCCTATTTTGTAAATTAAACATTATTATGTTTGTATGTATAGGGCAAAGCATGGTGTATATAGGGTTTGGTGCTGTCTTTGGTTTCAGTCACTCACTGGGGGTTTTGGAACATATTCCTGAGGATAAAAGGGGACTACTATATTAGTTCCCATTCTACTCAGCCTTCTTAAAAGAAATTCCACACTATTATCTGTCTTGCCTTCCATCTAAAAATTGTTCACTTCTGACTTTTTTGCCGATGAGTTTTTCTTTTACTTAGACTTCCTTATTCCTTTGTCCATTCTCTTTCTCTCAGCCTCTCCTTTAAATACTCACCCACTCTCATGAATTCAGCCCTTGTCTTGATAAAGCTGTGGCAAAGATACTTACCTTCCCACAACTCTGGATGGAGTGAGGGTGGTGATGAGTCCAGGAGTCTTGGAGAGACTCAACAACTGTAGCATCTCAAGTGAAAGACTCCTGAGTGACTTGGATTAGGGTGATGTCCATGGCTGCCCGTCAAAGGGATCAGAGCCTGGAATCCTCTCCAGATTTAGGGTTCATGCTGGTACTCACAGGTCAAAGAAGGCAGCGTGTTGGAACCAAGTGGGCTGTTGGAAGTCTAGAAGCATGCTGATCCCAGCAGATAGAGAAGGCATTGCTTAGTAGAGGATGGGTGTTGAGTGGCAAGCTGAGTTAAGGGAAAACTGAGTAGGAGCTGAGACCCCAGAACTAAAGGGAAGATAAGTGTGAAGATTCCATAAACCAGCCCCCATAGACTGTAAGAATGGACCAAGTTAATTCTAGTTCCTACATGTTCACAGACAGTTCAGCCCAGGCCTTTGCGAAGCCATAGGGTTAGAAAGGTAAGAAAAACCAGGTAACAGTGTTAGGGCTCAGTAGAGATTTGCTGGTGTCTGAAGGAGAGGGAGGCAGTGGAAGGGTTATAAATGTTTCGGTTTTGTGTAACTTATACATAGAGATTTTTTATTGAGTGAAAACATTTAGATACTCATTTAGGTAGGCTAACTGTACTGTTTTTCTAATGCAGGAACATTTTTCATCCTAAGATGTGGATGTAGCAGAAGAAATAATGTCACTTTAAAAATACATATACTTCCAGTAAAAGTAGCCGGAACTATTGTGGGCAAGGAAGTCTTGTAATAGGCTTCCAGATCCTTCAGCTTTGGAGCTTTGTTGGATCGGGCAGGAGGTTTGCAGCTTACCCCCTCCCCCGCCCCACCCACCAATAGCTCCATCTCAGAATGAGATTAATCAAAGAGTAAAAATGTGTAAAAAATGATTTAAATATCAAAGATTTAAAAATCCCTTTCATGAACCCCTCAAATATGTTGTCTGAAAGGGTCTTTATGGGTTCTCCTGAGAACATTACACATCTTATACTATTATGTAACTTTGAACCTCCCTCCAAAAAATTGCTCCAAAAGACTAAGCACAACTTATTATTTGTGCATCCTAAGATTTCGTGCAGAGCTATAATTAAAATCTAAATTTAGTTAAATAAAACATAGAAAAATGATTTCCTTATTTTATATTTCATGCTTCAAGAAAAGTCAGCAACTTTTTTTCAACTTACTAGTCAGAAGTTTTAAGTCTTTGCCAACTTGAAGAGACAAGTTGGCATTGTAGTAGTAAAATGAGGAGACTAGTTTGAAATGCAATAAGAATTAGTACCTAAATGGGTTTGATTTCAGATAATGTGAGGTCAGAAGTAACATGGTAAGACAACCAGTTGGAGACAGGGTCTTGCTCTGTCACCCAGGCTGGAGGGCAGTGGTAAGATCTGGGCTCAAACCATCATCCCACCTCAGTCTCCTGAGTATCTGAGACTACAGGTGCACGCCATCATGCCCAGCTAAATTTTATATTTTTTGTAGAGACAGGATTTTGGCATGTTGCCTAGGCTGGTTTCTAACTTCTGGGCTCAAGGGATCTGCCCCCGTTGGCCTCCCAATATGCTGGGATTGAAGGTGTGAGCCACTGTATCTGGCCTACTGTTTCTTAAAAGAGCAGTGGTTAGATTATATACATATAATACACACACACACACATAATCCACATACATAGAATCCATATATATATAAAATCCACATGTCTATAATTTATATATATAACATTCTTATATATTATTCAACACATGTATATATATAATTCACATATATATTAAATCCATATATCTATAATTTTTATATAATATCATATATAATCATATGTAAATATATATGACTATATATGATTTATGTATGTACATATAAAAATAGCTGAGACTCTCCTTTAATTGCAAGTTTAAGCCATTTACATTGGCTGTGGTTTCTAGTATAGGTACAATTACTTCTACAATCTATTTTGAATTTTCAATGAGGCGAGCTTTTTCTTTGACTTTTTCTGTTTTATATTTTGTTGATTAAATTTTGTTGTTCTCTTTATTTCTCTTCTACTTATATTTTTAATGTTATATTTATGTTTTTAGTGGCTTTAGCATATATACCTGACTTTAAAAAGTTTAAAATTAATTTTTTAATCAGCCCACCTCTCATTCATGCTATGGTTGTCTTGAATTTTAGTTTTATCTTTGCTGTTAAACTTTTTATACTTGTTGTTACTAATAATTATTTAGATTTAGCAACATGTTTACAGATTGCTTTGCTTATTATTAGATCTCATTAGTACTCTAATTGTTTTTTTGAGATGGAGTTTCACTCTTGTTACCCAGGCTGGAGTGCAGTGGTGCAATCTCGGCTCACTGCAACCTCTGCCTCCTGGGTTCAAGCAATTCTCCTGCCTCAGCCTCCCAAGTAGCTAGGACTACAGGCGTGCGCCACCACGCCCAGCTAATTTTTGTATTTTTAGTAGAGACGGGGTTTCATCATGTTGACCAGGATGGTCTTGATCTCTTGACCTTGTGATCCATCCGCCTCGGCCTCCCAAAAGAAGTATATCTTTTAGTTTTATTTTAATAAGAGTCTGTTAATGGCAAACTCTTCCAGTCTTTACCCTCAAATGCCTATAAAGTTGCCCTCAATCTTGAATATTAGTCTCATTTTACATGTGATTTTAGTTTGGATGTTATTTTCCTTCAGCAGTCAGAAGACATTTTTTCTTTGATTTTTGGCGTCTGCTGTTCTGAATGAGGTATTTGTTATCAAATAGTCATTTCTTGATAGATAATTTGATCCTTTTGTGATTTTAATATTATTTTTCTCTTTTAATATTAATATAATTTTTTTGCTTGTAGTATTGTTTTTCTCTTTACCTTTGGAAACTCTATGTGAGTTGTAGGTGTGGTTAAAAAATACTTCTCTTGTTCAGAATTTGGTGTGCTTCCTCCATTTGAGGACTAAGTTTTTTTTAACTATGGAAAATACTCAGCCTTTTTCATTTTAAATACCTTCTTCTTTCAGGATTTCCAGTAGACAAGCCATATGTTACATCTTTTTCTGTCTTCCATGTTTGTTAACATCTTTTCTTTTTTTTGTATTTTTCCATTTCTTTATTTCTCTGCTATACTTTGGGTGATTTTATTTGAGAACTGTCTTGCCATTCATCCTTTTTCTTTTCAGGTGTATATAATTTGCATCTATTATATTTTGAATTATAATTATGTTCCCCTGTATATGTGTAAGTTTTATTTTTAAATATCTGAGTGCTCTTATTTATGGTTTCTGTTTCTTCTTTACTCTTTACCAACTTTAAATATATTTATTTCATAGTCTCCTTCAGACTGCTATATCATTTCTAGTACTTGGTTACTAATTATGTTTCTGTATTCTACTCCTCCTCTCTCAAAGATCATTTTCTCATGGGATTTTCAAAAACCTTTTGAGCTTCTTTAGAAGTTATGTATTTATTTTTTTTTCTGGTAGGAATCTTTTGGTCCTGGCCTTTCAAAGTGTTTCTATAGAGTGGCTTTTCATGAATTCTGCTTGGGTCTTAGTAGTTTTACCTTCCCAGACAAACTTTTATGTCAATGTCTTGGGTTATATCCCTTTTATTTCATGTGTAGTTTAAACTTGGACCCCTTATCTAGGTGTGGCACAGATGTGGGATTTCAGTTCCTCTAGGGCAGGGATCAGCAAACTATGGCCAAGAGCCAAAGAGTGCTTTGCCCATTTATTTGTACACTGTCCATGGGTGCTTTGGCATTACGTGAGTAGCTGTGGTGAGAAAGTATGAGAACTCTATTGTAGGGTGAGTTTTTCCCATCTATTTAAGGGTTTGGGCAGATGTCAAGCCTCTTTGCAGCTTTCCCAACTTGTGACTCAATTCCCTTTGTGTGTACTGGGCAGCGCTTCAAAGATCCTGGCTTTCCACAGGATCTGTTGAGAGTGTTAGGACCCCACAGCCCTTCTCCCCATATTGTGATAAAGCCCCCCCCGCCACCCCCGGGCTCTGTGTCTGGCCCAATACCCATGGAAGCTGCTGTGGTGCCAGCTCCGTGGCTGCCCTGGCTTTCAAGTCTCTCTTTGCTTCTGGCTTCTGGGCATTTATTTTTCTTTTAAGCTCATTCAATTTTCAGTTACATTTTCTTCCATATCATGTGTTTGCACAGAATGGAAAGTTCCTTTATCTTGTTACTAAACAGGAAATTCCCAGTGCTATTTTATTGTTCATCATTAGATTTTATTAGTTCATGGATGTTACATTTGAAAAGATTCAAAACACAAATCAAGCTCTAAGAATGTTGAAGAAATTTGAAAGGTAAAAGTTTCAAGAAATTTTCTATTACCTAAAATTAGGATAGTTTAGCTTTTATTGTTGTTATTAATATTATTATTATTTCATATTCCAATGGAAAGCAAAACTTCTGTCGACAATTTGAGGTCACAGTTTTTAAGTTTTTCAGAGGATTAATCCTCTTAAGGATTCAGGATTTATTTTATTTCTTGAAATAGAGAATACTCTTAGCTTTGATGTACCTTGTGACTGCCTATAGTAATATTTCCTAATGTATAGGCAATTTGAAAATAGTCTTTCCAAGTAAATAGTTTCGCCTACATTTTATGGATGAGTTTTATTTTTATTCTTTTAATATTCCACACAAATGTCTCATTCTTCATTAGCATTTGTTTTAAAATAAATATTAATGAGATTACCAGATATTTTTATTGTGTATTTATTTTATTTATTCCATTAATTCAAGCTTTTAACTATTTTTAAAAAATCAGATTGAATATACCTAATCTTGGTATTGATGACAAATATCGACTTATCCTTGAGAACTATGGGGCTGACATTGATACGATTTCAAAGCTATATACAAAGCAGAAATACGATCCTCCTCTGGCTCGAAACCAGCCTCCCATCGCTGGGAAGATCCTGTGGGCCCGCCAGCTCTTCCATAGGATTCGGCAGCCCATGCAGCTTTTCCAGCAGCACCCAGCTGTGCTAAGCACAGCAGAAGCCAAACCTATAATTCGCAGTTACAATAGGATGGCCAAAGTCCTCCTGGAGTTTGAGGTCCTCTTCCACAGGGCGTGGCTTCGGCAGGTGAGTCCCTGCATTTATACTCTTCCCGTTGTTGGAATCATGGGAACCCCTCCTTAGCATTTCACAGTGTTATTTCTGTAGAAAGCTGGATTTGTAGGTATTTTGTAAGGTAGTTGGGTTGAATGAGTGTAATATGTCCACAAAGAAAAGTAATTAAATTTGAAAAAAGAAAAAACCACAAGCCAGGTAACAAAACCCCATTTTTATTTAATTTATAAACTCCAAAGTGTAAATTAGAAAGTGTAATTTACAAACTCCAAAGTGAGAAGATCTTGTTTATTGGTTCCTATGCCCAATCTATTAGGATAGCTTCCTTTTTAAAATTCAGTCAGATCCAGCCAGGCACGGTGACTCTGATTCATGTCTGTAATCCCAGCACTTTGGGAGGCCGAGGCAGGTGGATCATGAGGTCAAGAGTTCGAGACCATCCTGGTCAACATGGTGAAACCCCATCTCTACTAAAAATACAAAAATTAGCCGGGTATGGTGGCACATACCTGTAGTCCCAGCTACCCGGGAGGCTGAGGGGGAAGAACTGCTTGAACCCAGGAGGCAGAGTTTGCAGTGAGCTGAGATTGTGCCACTGCACTCCAACAAAATCAGTCAGATCCTAAATGTGTCATTAAACACAAGTACATCTGTTAAACAAAGTCTTAAATTTTCTTTGGTTGTAACACTGGTATGTAACCATAGCATATCCTACCAATACATGTATTTCTTTGTAGGTTGGCAGGATGTGATGTTTCCATAGCTGTGTTTGTTGTTTTTCTAGATAACTAAAAACTGAGTTTAGGAGGTTTTACGGAACTTTTATTTGGGAAGAATGATAGAATAGGCATGAAGGTGTCAGGTAGCTAAATGGCTTTTGAGATCACTACTGTTACAGTGTCTACTTATTTATCAGTGTGAGAGTCATAACCAAAAGGTGTTTTTTTGAGATGTAGTTTCACTTTTGTTGCCTAGGCTGGAGTGCAATGGCTTGATTTTGGCTCACTGCAATCACTGCCTCCTGGGTTCAAGTAATTCTCCTGCCTCAGCCTCCCAAGTAGCTGGGATTGATTACAGGCATGCACCACTATGCCCGGCCCATTTGTATTTTTAGTAGAGATGGGGTTTCTCCCTGTTGGTCAGGCTGGTCTCGAACTCCTGCCCTCCAGTGATCTGCCTGCCTTGGCCTCCCGAAGTGCTGGGATTATAGGCATGAGCTACCGTGCCCTGCCTGACTAAAAGGTTTGATTGAACTGACTGCCCAACATCAACACCAAGAACTTGAAGATTGTTTTACGAGACTGGATTTAGGAGAAGGGTCAGTGATCTTATTGCCCTTAGTTTAGGAAGCTCAAATCCATGGAAGAACACTTAATGATCCTTATTCCCAGAGATAGCTGAACTAGATATTCTGTAAGCATTAGACTTTCTAATAGCAGTAATGTTGGTTTCTTCCCACAGATTGAAGAAATTCATGTAGGTCTTGAGGCTTCATTATTGGTGAAGACTCCAGGCACAGGGGAATTGTTTGTAAACTTTGATCCTCAGATATTAATCTTATTTAGAGAAACAGAGTGCATGTCCCAGATGGGTCTGGAAGTCACCATTGGCAGCTTCCCTCTTCCAGAAGCGAGACAGATACAAAAGGAACTTCAGTAACGTGAAGGTATACTACTTTCATTTTTTCCCTCTATTCTTGGCTAGCTCTAGAATGTATTGTCAAAACATATGGTGATGTGTCATATTCAAGGGGCAGAAAGTGGCCAGGATGAATAGAGTGACTGAGGGAACAGTGCCATGGGATGTGGCTGCTGAGTTGACTGGGGCCAGGCTGTGATAGGTCTTGCAGGCCAAGATGAGTTTGGGTCTTATTTTGAGTGTACCAGGAAACCACTGGAGGATTTTGAGCCACCAAAAAAAGCATGATCTCTTTTGTAATAAAAGTTTTTCTTACTGCTGGGTGGACAATGGCTGTTAAGAGGGACAGTGGTATCAGTGGGAAGCCAGTTTGTGAAGTGTTGCACTGGCCCAGGATGAAGTTGATAGCTTGAACTAGGATGGCAGCAGAGTTGTTCAGAGAATTTAGTTATGCCAACGCGCAGTTATGAGAGAACTCAGGAATAATTCCAGTGCTTTTGGTGTGAGCAATTCAATGAATTAAAGTAGGGCTACCATGGGGTGCTGTGTAGGTTGCATCCTTTACAAGTTGTGCAATAATATCCAGGGGCCATGACTGTAAGTTCAATTTATGGAGATGTCAAAAACTGGAACTAGTTTATTTTAGGCAGCAGGAGAGAATCAATAGTTCCCATTTAAGTACCAGCTAGTTTTCAGACAGCCAAGTGGCAACGTTGTCCATGCAGTTGGATATGTAAGTCTGGAGTTCAGTGGAGAAGCCGAAGTTGGAACATGCTTTTGAGAATTATCAGAATATAGTTGCTATTTAATAGAGGAGATCTCTTAGGGGAGAGAATACACATGGAGAATAATGGAGGGCCACTGGACCAAGCATTGGGTTGTTCCAATATTAACAGGTTTGATAGAAGATGACAGATGTGCAAATACAACAAAAGATTGACTTTTGAGCTGGGAAGAGACCGTGTCAAGAAAGCCAAGGATGGCCGGGCGCGGTGGCTCATGTCTGTAATCCCACCACTGTGGGAGGCTGGGGTGGGCAGATCACCTGAGGTCAGGAGTTTGAGACCAGCCTGGCTAACATGGTGAAACCCTGTCTCTACTGAAAATACAAAAATTAGCTGGGCGTGGTGGCACCTCGTGGTAGTCCTAGCTACTGGGAAGGCGGAGGTTGCAGTGAGCTGAGATTGTGCCCTTGCACTCCAGCCTGGGCAACAGAGTGCAAGTCATATAAAGAAAGAAAGAGAGAAAAAAAAGGAGGTACTTAGAGACGGACTGGTCACCAGTGACAAATGTCGCTGCCCAGGGGATGAAAAAGGTGAGGTTAGAGATGCTGCCACGGGAGCTGACAACATGGAAACCATTGTTAAAATTTCATAGTGGTTAACATCACATGACAGTACTAAGTCCATGCACTTGCATTGTACTTTAGATTTACAGCCATGTTCATGCTCTTGCTCTTTTCTACCACCATATTAGGTAACTAGGACAGAATACTATTATTTTGTTTTATAGATGACAAAACCGTGGCTGAGAGAAGATAAATGATTTATTTTTATTTTATAATTTTTATTTTTTATTGTGCTTTAGGTTCTGGGGTACATGTGCAGATCATGCAGGATTGTTGCATCGGTACATACATGGCAAGGTGATTTACCACCTTCATCCCCCCATCACCTGTATCTGGCATTTCTCCCCACGTTATCCTTCCCCACCCTCCCCACTCCCTGCTGTCCCCCGCAAGCCCCCCAAGCTGACCACAGTGTATGATGCACCCTTCCCTGTGTCTACGTGTGTTCTCATTGTTCAACATCCGCCTATGAGTGAGAACATGTGGTGTTTGGTTTTCTGTTCTTGTGTCAGTTTGCTGAGAATGAGGATTTCCAGATTCATCCATGTCCCTATGAAGGACTTGAACTCATTGTTTTTTATGGCTCTGTAGTATTATATATGCCAGATTTTCTTTATCCAGTATATCATTGATGGACATTTGGGTTGGTTCCAAGTCTTTGCTATTGTAAACAGTGCCACAATGAACATATGTGTGCATGTGTCTTTATAATAGAACACTTTATAATTCTTTGGGTATAGTATATACCCAATAACGGGATTGCTGGGTCAAATGGAATTTCTATTTCTAGGTCCTTGAGGAATTGTCACACTGTCTTCCACAATGGGTGCATTAATTTACATTCCCACGAACACTGTAAAAGTGTTCCTATTTCTCCACATCCTCTCCAGCATCTGTTGTCTCCAGATTTTTTAATGATCGCCATTCTAACTGTTGTGAGATGGTATCTCAATGTGGTTTTCATTTGCATTTCTCTAATGACCAGTGATGATGAGCATTTTTTCATATGTTTGTTGGCCTCATACATGTCTTCTTTTGAAAAGCATCTGTTCATGTCCTTTGCCTACTTTTGAATGGGTTTTTTTTTTCTTATCTGTTTTAGTTCTTTGTAGAGTCTGGATATTAGCCCTTTGTCAAATGGGTAGATTGCAAAAATTTGTTCCCATTCTGTTGGTTGCTGGTTCACTCTAATGATTGTTTCTTTGGCTGTACAGAAGCTCTAGAGTTTAATTAGATCCCATTTGTCTATTTTGGCTTTTGTTGCCAGTGCTCTTGGTGTTTTAATCATGAAGTCCTTGCCTATGCCTATGTCCTGAATGGTTTTGCCTAGGTTTTATTCTAGAGTTTTTATGGTATTAGGTCTTATGTTTAGATCTTTAATCCATCTGTAGTTAATTTTAGTGTAGGGTGTCAGAAAGGGGTCCAGTTTCTGCTTTCTGCACATGGCTAGCCAGTTTTCCCAACACCATTTATTGAACAGGGAATCCTTTCCCCATTGCTTGTTTTTGTCATGTCTGTCAAACATCAGGTGATTGTAGATGTGTGGTGTTGCTTCTGGTTTTGGTACTAGTAGCATGCTGTTTTCATTACTGTGGCCTAGTAGTATAGTTTGAACTCAGGCAGCATGATGCTTCCAGCTTTGTTCTTTTTGCTTAGGATTGTTTTGGCTATGCAGGCTCTCTTTTGGTTCCATATGAAGTCTGAAGTGGTTTTTTTCCAGTTTTGTGAAGAGGGTCATTGGTAGCTTGATGGGGATAACATTGAATCTATAAATTACTTAGGGCAGTATGACCATTTTCACGATATTGATTCTTTCCAACCATGACCATGGAATGTTTTTCTATCTGTGTCCTCTCTTATTTCCTTGAGCAGTGGTTTGTAGTTCTCCTTGAAGAGGACCTTTACATCCTTTGTTAGTTGTATTCCTAGGTATTTTATTCTCTCTGTAGCAATTGTGAATGGCAGTTCGTTCTTGATTTGGCTCTCTTTCAGTCTGTTATTGGTGTATAGAAATGCTTGTGATTTTTGCACATTGATTTTGTATCCTGAGAAAGTTGCTTATCAGTTTCAGGAGATTTGGGGCTGAGACGATGGGGTCTTCTAAATATACAATCATGTCATCTGCAAATAGAGGCAATTTGACTTCCTCCTTTCCTAATTGAATACCCTTTATTTCTTTCTCTTGCCTGATTGCTCTGGCTAGAGCTTCCAATACTATATTGAATAGGAATGGTGAGAGAGGGCATCCTTGTCTAGTGCCAGATTTCAAAGGGAATGCTTCCAGTTTTTGCCCATTCAGTATGATATTGGCTGTGGGTTTGTCGTAAATAGCTTTTATTATTTTGAGATATGTTCCATTGACACCTAGTTTATTGAGAGTTTTTAGCATAAAGGGCTGTTGGATTTTGTTGAAGGCCTTCTCTGCATCTATTGAGATAATCATGTGGTTTTTGTCTTTGGTTCTGTTTATATGATGGATTATATTTATAGACTTGCATATATTGAACCAGCCCTGCATCCTGAGGATGAAGCCTACTTGATTATGATGAAAGCTTTTTGATTTGCTGTTTCCTTTGGTTTGCCAGTATTTTATTGAAGATTTTTGCATCTATGTTCATCATGGATATTGGCCTGAAATTTTCTTTTTCAGTTGAGTCTCTGCCCAGTTTTCATATCAGGATGATGTTGGTCTCATAAAATGAGTTGGGGAGGATTCCGTCTTTTTGTATTGTTTGGAATAGTTTCAGAACATATGGTACCAGCTCCTCTTTGTACATCTGGTAGAATTCAGCTGTTAAGCTGTCTGGATGTGGACTTTTTTAGATTGGTAGGCTTCAGCCCTTGTTATTAGTCTATTCAGGGTTTCAACTTCTTCCTGGTTTAGTCTTGGAAGAGTTCACGTGTCCAGGAATTTGTCCATTTCTTCTAGGTTTACTAGTTTATGTGCATAGAGTTGTTTGTAGTAATCTCTTATGGTAGTTTGTATTTCTGTGGAATTGGTGGTGATGTCCCCTTTATTGTTTTTTATTGCTCTTTTTTGTTTTATTAGTCTGGCTAGCAGTCTATCCATTTTGTTGATCTTTTCAAAGAACCAGCTCCTGGGTTTGTTGATTTTTTGAAGGATTTTTTGTGTCTTTATCTCCTTCAGTTCTGCTCTGATCTTAGTTATTTCTTGTCTTCTGCCAGCTTGAGTTTCTTTGATCTTGCTTCTCTAACACTTTCGATTTTGATGATAGGGTGTCGATTTTAGATCTTTTCTTGCTCCTCATGTGGGCATTTATTGCTATGAATATCCCTCTAGACACTGCTTTAAATGTATCCCAGAGATTCTGGTATGTTGTCTCTTATTTCTTGGTTTTGAAGAACATGTTTATTTCTGCTATCATTTCATTGTTTATCCAGTCAACATTCAAGAGCCAGTTGTTCAGTTTCTATGAAGTTGTGCAGTTCTGAGTTAGTTTCTTAATCCTGAGTTCTAATTTGATTGCGCTGTGGTCTGAGAGACTGTTTGTTATGATTTCTCATTTGCTGAAGAGTGATTTACTTCCAATTATGTGATCAATTTAGAGTAAGTGTGATGTGGTGCTGAGAAGAATGTATATTTTGTGAATTTGGGGTTGAGAGTTCTGTAAATGTCTATTAGGGTTGCTTGGTCCAGATCTGCATTCAAGTCCTGGATTTCATTGTTGATTTTCTGTTTCACTGATCTGTCTAATATTGACAGTGTAGTGTTAAAGTCTCCCACTATTATTGTGTGGGAGTCTAAGTCTCTTTGTAGGTTGTTAAGAACTTGCTTTATGTATCTGGGTGCTCCTGTATTGGGTGCATATGTATTTAGAATAGTTAGCTCTTCTTGTTTTATTGATTCTTTCACCATTATGTAATGCTTTTCTTTGTCTCTTTTGATTTTTGTTGGTTTAAAGTCCACTTTATCAGAGAGTAGGATTGCCACCCCTGCTTTTTCTTTGCTCTCCATCTGCTTGGTAAATCTTCTTCCATCCTTTTTTTTTTTTGAATTTATGTAGTATGTCTTTGCACGTGAGTTAGGTCTCCGGAATATAGCACACTGATTGTTCTTGTCTTTTTATCCAGTTTGCCAGTCTGTGTCTTTTGATTGGGTCATTTAGTCTGTTTACATTTAATGTTAATATTGTTATCTGTAAATTTGATCCTGCCATTTTGTAACTGGTTGGTTGTTTTGCCCTCTGGTTGGCATTATTTCTTCATTGCATCATTGGTCTTTGCTGTTTGGTTCTTTTTTGCAGTGGCTGGAACTGGTTTTTCCTTTCTGTGTTTAGTGCTTCCTTTGGAAGCTCTTGTAGGGCAAGTCTGGTATTGATGAAATCTTTCAAGAATTGCTTGTCTGTAAAGGATTTTATTTCTCCTTCACTTATGAAGCTTAGTTTGGCTGGATATGAAATTCTGGGTTGAAAGTTCTTTTCTCTAAGGATGTTGAAGATTGGGCCCCATTCTCTTCTGGCTTGTAGGGTTTCTACTGAGACATCCGCTGTGCTTTCCTCTGTGGGTCAGTGACCAGACCTCTCTCTCTGGCTGCGCTTAGGACTTTTTCCTTCATTTCAACCCTGGTGAATCTGACAATTATGCACCTTGTGCTTGCTCTTTTAGAGGAGTATCATTGTGGTGTTCTCTGTATTTCCTGTATTTGAATGTTGGCCTGCCTTGCTAGGCTGGGGAAGTTCTCCTGGATAATATCCTGAAGGGTGTTTTCCAGCTTGGATTCATTCTCCCTATCTTCTTCTGGTACACCAATCAAGCATAGATTAGGTCTTTTCACATAATCCCATATATCTTGGAGGTTTTCTTCATTTCTTTTCACTCTTTTTTCCCTTTGCTTGCCTTCTTATTTTATTTCATTGAGTTGATCTTCAATCTCTGATATCCCTTCTTCTGCTTGATCTGTTCAGCTATTGAAACTTATGTATGTTTCATGAAGTTCTTGTGCTGTGTTTTTCAGCTCCATCAAGTCATTTATGTTCTTCACTAAGCTGTATTCTATTAAGCATTTCATCTAACCTTTTTTCAAGGTTTTTAGTTTCTTTGCATTGGGTTAGAACATGTTCCTTTAATTCAGAGAAGTTTGTTATTACTCACCTTCTGAAGCCTGCTTCTGTCAGTTCATCAAATTCATTCTCCATCCTGCTGTGTTCCCTTAATGGTGAGGAGTTGTGATCTCGTGGTGGGGGAGAAGCATTCTGGTTTTTGATGTTTTCATCCTTGTTGCATTGATTTCTTCCTATCTTTTTGAATTTTTACAGGTTTGATCTCAGGTAGCTGCTTGGGGAGGCGGCCTTTCCTTTGTCTGCCTGCAGAGGCACTGCTAGGCTGCCATGGATTCAATGGAGCTGCTGCATATTTTTCCTGCATCTTATATTTGCTCAGGAAAATTAGGCCAGGTTCTGCAATGGTGGCTGCCGGTCTCCCTGCCAAGCTCGTTCATTCCTGATCACTCTCTAACTGATGTTCTGGGTGTTTTTTAGCCTGCTAGGTTTTGTAGGGGGAGACCTGTCCTGCTGTATGGCCTGTTTGCCTGTGTTCAGTTCCCCTTCTTTCTGGGGGGTGGGCAGCTCTGTCCCGCTGGCTTTTTGGCTTCCTTGGCATCAGCCAGTGCTTCCATCTAGATCTATGCTGACAGCCCTGGTACCAGCCGAAGTTGCTGTTCTGCCCTGTTCAGGCAGCTTGCTGAGGATTTTCAGCCCAGTGAAGAGCTCCTTCTCTGTGGGTTGTAGAGGGCTTGAGTGGAGCACTGTATCCGAACTGAAGTCCCAGAGGGGGAGATCCTCCAGTCCTCCAGTCAGTTGCATGCACCACCTGGGTGGGACAGTGCCCTGCCTTGCCTCAACCTGCCCTATTTGGTTTATACCCGCTGTCCAACCAGAGCCACAAAATAAACCTGGTACCTTGTTTGGAATTGTGGAGACCACTCGGCTTCTGCATCTTTTTCGCTGGGAGCTATGTTCCGGAGCCGCCTTATTCGGCCATCTTGGTACCTCCCGATAAATGATTTAACAAAGGTTTCATAGCTGGAAAGTGGCAGAAGTAGTCCTACTCAACGTGAGTAGGACCTACTGGTCAGGCAGGTTTAGGGGATCATCTAAAGTGTTTAGGGGATCATCTAAAGTGTTACAGAGTTGTTGTTCTGAATATTTGACAGAGCTTTCAGGCTTCTGCAGGTACATCAAAGTAGCTGAGAGTTTCTTTCCTTCATCTGTTCCTTGGAAAACAGTTGAACTAGAAAGAGAAGACCAGAACCCAGACTTGTGGTCCACTGTCTTCCACTACTTCATGTCATATTAAAACGTTACATTGGCAATGGACAGTCATTCCTCAAATGTAGATTCTAAAATGCCAGTCAGCATGTTGGGATTCCCTTTTAGACCCTTTCACATTAGGAAACTCACTTAGTCAATTTACATGTTCATAAAGAAAATCACATTTTTACTAAGAAACCATAATTACTGAGAATTTAATTTTATTTGCAGAGTTGTTTCAGTTGTCTGTTGCAGGCAACAAACAGTTGTAAGCATGTCATAGGGGTTTACAATAACCGTATCATTATATCATGACTTCATGGGTAAAGAACTTGAGTGAGGTTTGTCTAGGTGATTCTTCTGTTCCATGTGTCATTGACAGAGGCTGCTTAGTGGTGTTCAGCTGGCTGATGTTTGACCTGTAAGGTCCAAGAAGGCCTTGTTTCATGTCTGTTTCTTTCGTGAGGAAGGCTGGAAGGTACTCTCAGGTGGGACTGTGAACAGGCGCACCTATACATGGCCTTGCAGTATGGAGGCCTCTGGCTACTAGAATTTCTTGTATGGCAACTCAGGGTTTCAAGAACAAGCACTACAGCCACAGGGACTTTACGATAGCCTCAAGTGTCTCACGGCATCATCTCTGTTGTACTTTGTTGGACTGTAAACCTACCCAAATTCAAAAAAAAGGGGGATATGGCCCCTCCATGAAGGGGAGGATCAAAGAATATTTTAAAAACATCATCTAAACGGTTGCAGTTATTGTGCTGAATATTTGACAGAACTTTAAGGCTTCTGCAGAGATGCCCAAGTAGTTGAGAGTTTGTTTCCTCCATCTATTCCTTGGAAGACAGTTGAACTAGAAAGAGAAGACCAAGTACAGGCTAATAGGTACAAATACAGGTTCTGAAGCCAATTTAATCTGGATTCAAATAATTATCTTTGGGTAAGTGGCTTTACCTTCTAAGCGTGGGTTTCTCTTTTGTTAAAGCAGTTGAGTACTACCTTCTGGGATGAAAGGTGGGAAGCAGAATGCCTGCTAGAAGCTGATTCTAAGACTGTTTCCAGATAGAATAACTGATGGACATTGAAAAAAGCAAGCAGTGGATACAAACTTCAGAAAACGTGTAAGTAGCTGCTAATAGAACCAGAAAATCTGGACTTTTCCAAAGTGGCTTTTATGGACATTGAAGGAATATAAATTGTGGAAAAAGATTATATGAGGAAAAGATTATGAGGTCCATTTGAGAAATATTGGGTTTAACAAAATTTTCAAAGCCTTGCAAGGCTTTCTACTTCCTTGAGCAGGCTTCTAAGAATCTCTAATGTTAGCTTTGACTATCCAAGAAGGGAGATATTGTATGCAGCATTTTCAAAATGCATCTGTCAAAGGAGCATTTTTCTCATAGAATCTCTTTGGCTTAGTACTCCAGGCAAACAGTTTGGAAAACATTAATCTATTATCAGGGTAGTGCCAACATGCACATATGTGGTCTTAATACCAACTGTATTTATGAGGCACATTAAAGTTATTTTCTTATAATTAATGATTATTAATATTGACATGGTTACATATGAACAAAATAGTGACACAGTTTGACATTGTATAAATAATACTGACACAGTTCAACATTATGTACATTTCAATAAAAGACGAGAATCCCCATTTCAGATGAAAAATTAATCTTCTGATATCTAATTGATTAATTAGATAGATATTGATTTATTATCTCCTATGTGCCAGGTGCTGGTGCAGGCTCACGGAACAAAGCAGACAACATCCTTGTCCTTGTAGAACTTAAAGTCTAATTGGGTAGGACAGAAAATGAACATTGTAAATATGTAAATTAATATAGTCTATTATAATAAAATGATAGTCATTATGGAAAAATGGGGGGATAAAATGTGTGAGTGGTTTTGGTGGTGGCTTATAATCTTAAAAGGGTAGTGATGATGGGTGTAATTGAGAAAGTGACATTTGAATAATTAATCGAAGGAGGTGCAAAGGCCCTGAGGCTCAGGACCAGAAAGAAAGACAGTCAGGCAGGTGTGGGTAAGAAAGGGAAAGAGTGGTTGGAGATGAGATCAGAGAAGTAATGGGACAAAATTGGGTAGATCTTTCTAGACCAAGCACCTATCCAAGTCCTTTGTATAAAGGTTTGTAGCCCTGAATTAAATGCAGGCTGTTGAGCAGAGGAGTGATATTATTTGAATTCTCATTTTGAAAGGATCATTTTTGCTGTTAAACTGTACCTAGACTTATTGGGAGGGTGATTGAAGCAGGGAGACAATGGTAGACCACCCCAATAATTGAGGAGGTAGCCAACAATGGCAGTAACTGTTGATGTGGAAAGCAAGTCAGATATAGACTTTTTGAGTTTCTTTTGAGTAGACTGCAAACAAGATATCCTAATGGATTATGTGTGGGGTGTGTGTGTGAGAGAGAGAGAGAGAGAGAGAGAGAGGAATCAAGGATGACTCTAGGTTTTGGCCTGTGAACTGGAAGGATAAAGTCACTATCAGCTGAGTTAGAGAATGAGCTGGAATGAATTAGAGAATTAATAAACTTAATAAGTCCAAACTGAGACTTACTAAGTTTGAAATGTCTGCTAAGTATTGAAGTGGAAAGTTTGGGAGGCTGCTGCTATTCATGAATCTAGACTTTTAGGAGGTGAATGTGTTTGTTTCTGGCATATGGATGAAATTCAAAGCCATGACACTAGTTGAAATCAGTACTGGTTTCCTGTGTGCTTTGGGTCTTGGCAACGAGATTTGGCCCATAATCCTGGCGAAAGGCTAATGTAGACCTCTGGTGACCCAGATGTTTTGGGTGATGAGTGTGGTCTGCAAGAGGTTCCCAGAGGAGCTGCACGCATGTTGTACCAGTGTACAAAGCAGAACAAACGAGCCTGGTGATGTGCAGACAAAGGTGCCATTACCATGTCTCTGCATGGTTTAGAAAAATTACTTGACCCTAGGGTTTTTCCCTTTCTAGGCTGCATAGGAGGTGAGGCAGTCTTAAATTCTTGTTCATCTTCAGTTGTTTCTTTTGGATTTGGAATTTGTAATGATGTAGAGTCCTTGTCTTCTATTCTTTTTATTGCTTTGGCTACTCTACTTGCTACACTGTTAGAGACCTACAGTTTGACCCTAAATAAAAATATAAGACATGAGATACTAATAGACAGAAGTAAGATATTAATTGATTACTTAACCTCAATTTCATTGCAGATGATGCTAGCTGAATATCAGAGAGTGAAGTAAAAAATGCCTCCCGCCATTGAGCAACTGATGGTTCCTCACTTGGCCAAAGTGGATGAAGCTCTCCAGCCTGGCTTGGCTGCACTGACCTGGACGTCTCTGAATATTCAGGCATATTTAGAAAACACTTTTGCAAAGATCAGTAAGTCTGCCTAAATAATTACTATTTTTGAATTCTTTTTAAAAATTTTATATATATATATAAATTTATATAAAAAATATATCTTCACATGTACCCCAGAACCTAAAGTGCAATAAAATATATATTTATATATAAAATTCATATTAAAATATATGTAAATTAATATAGTCTATTGTAATAAAATGTAAATTAATATAGTATTTACATTACATACATTTGTAATACATTAAAATATATTTCATTGCACTTTAAGTTCTGGGGTACGTGTGAAGACCATGCTGGATTGTTGCATAGGTACATACGTGGTAATGTGGTTTGCTGCCTCCATCCCCATCACCTGTATCTGGCCTTTCTCCCCATGCTATCCCTACCCAACTTCCTACCCCACACAGTCCCTCCCGTAGTCCCCTCACACAGACCCCAGTGTGTGATGCTCTCCTCCCTGTGTCCATATGTTCTCATTGTTCAATACCCACCTATGAGTGAGAACATGTGGTGTTTGTTTTTCTATTCTAGTGTCGGTTTGCTGAGAATGATGGTTTCCAGATTCATCTGTGTCCCTACAAAGGACATGAACTCGTCGTTTTTTATGGCTGCATAGTATTCCATGGTGTATATGTGCCACAATTTCCCTATCCAGTCTGTCATCAATGGGCATTTGGGTTGGTTCCAGGTCTTTGCTATTGTAAACAGGAACAGAAAATCAAAAACTGCGTGTATAGATGGGTGTTGAACAATGAGACTACTTGGACACAAAGAGGGGAGCATAACACACTGGGGTCCTAGGGAGGGGCTATAGGAGGAATGGCAGGAAGGAGGGTGGGGGGGAATAACATGGGGAGAAATGTCAGGTATAGGTGATGGGGGGATGGTGGCAGCAAACCATTTTGCCATGAATGTACCTATGCGACAATCTTGCATGATCTGCACATGTACCCCAGAATCTAAACTACAATAAAAAAAGTGGGAGGAAAAAAAGAGATATAATACTCTCAAATATATGTAAGGTAGTATATTCCATAAAATGCAATTTTATGGAATGTGTATAGGTATGTTGCAAAGAAGGGCTCAACTATGTCTGGGAAATCCAAGAGGGGCAGTTGGACAGGTGTCTTTGCTGGAGGACTTTTCAGAGCCTTTAACAGGCCAGCGTCTAGTGGGTCTCCAAAAGTGGGCTTTTTCATGTGGCATTTCCCAGAATTCCTTGCACATTACCACCTTACAGCTCTTCTGTGGCAGACAGTGTAGCATAGTTTGGAACATGGTAATGGGGGGGAGGTTTGTTTTTCCAGAAGGACTTAGACATTGCTATTCTCTTTCCTAGCCAGTGTCTTCCACCTTCTCCTCTGCATGGCCCAATCCCCCCTACTCCCTTTTTTTTTTCCTTTTTGTGGAGAGTGGAGTCTTGATACATTGCCCAGGCGGGTCTTGAACTCCTGGGCTAAAGCTATCCTCCCACCTCGTTCTCCCTAAGAGCTGGGATTACAGGTGTGAGCCACAGCACCAGCCCCAATCCTCCCCACTCTTATAGCCCAGAGTAAGTCTTGCTCCCAGAAGCCAACTTGATTACTCTACCTCCTGTAACGTCTTCCTCTTATGTCTTCCTGTTGGATTTACATTTGGGACCAGAGACTTTGCATTTCGGTTGTCTTCTAATGATTTAGTACAGTTTCATCCTTCTCCCCATGCAGACTGCAAAGGGTCTGACGTCAGGCTGTTTAATTTTTTTTTTTGTAAATTGACAATTTATAATTGTATAGATTTGTGGGTTCTGTAAAGAGGGAGTTGCGTGGGGAAAAAATTTATGGGGTACAAAATGACGTTATGATTTATGAATACAATGTGAAATAATTAAATCCAAGCTGTTTAATTTATACAATTCTTTGGTGTTATTCTCAATTGGGTGTGTAGTAGACACCCATATACTTGCAGATTCATAATTGGAATAATTTTATATACTTAGTCTCTCTTCGTTTCTTTATCAGTGTAACCCCATTCCTACTGCTCAAGCCTATTACTTTATTTCTGGATATCTGTTCCTGGGCCTCCCTTTTAGATACCCCTCGTGATGCCTCCTTTTATCCTCTCTCTCTCTCTCTCTCTCTCTCTCTCTCTCTCTCTCCCCTACCCCACCCCTCAGGTCTCTGTCTTCGTCTGGTTTTTATGGCTGCTGACCAAGTACCTAGTCTATTTATAATCTAAATTGAATTGTCAAGAGCTTCTCTTATCAGCAGGTTTTCACTGTACTTTTCAAAAAACGTAGGCTTCAGAAGGTCCAGCTATTTAAATAGCCAGGTGCTTTATATTCAGGAATATTTGAGAAGTACTGAGTTGGAAGGGAGTAGAGTGAGAAATTCCGGTTGAGCCCATATCCCACCTTTGTTATGCTTTGTAGATTGGGAGCTGGACTCAAAAACAAAGGATATTGGAGTTTTTGAATATGAATGAATATCAAGTCAGAGATGCTAAATGGCTTTTAATGTTACATAGATATAAGAAATAACAATGAGTTTAGAACCCAATTTCCTTGCTCTAAATTAATATTTCTTCTAAAATATGCCTCCCCGGAAATAAAACAAGAGGAAATTGGCTAAAATTTCCTGAGGAGGCACTTATGAAATGTATAAAAACTTCATAATAAGAGTTATCGGGGGTGGGGAGTTGGGGAGAGATAACATGGGGAGGGAGGAAGGCAGCAAATCACACTGCCATGTGTGTACCTATGCAACAATCTTGCATGTTCTTCACATGTACCCCAAAACCTAAAATGCAATTAAGAAAAGAGTTATCATAATCAAATTAGAACAGGCTACCAAGGTAGACTTTAGTAATATCCTTCCTTTAGATGTTAATATTAGAGTAACAATTTGGATGTTTATTAGAATGTTAGCTCGAGACAAGGAACTAGTTTCTAGAGAAACTTATTGTTTTTGTTTTCTATTGTGTTTTTCTTTTTGTAATTTAAGGAACTAAAATAGAGGAAAGATGAAATTTCTTTGAGAGAAACTATGTAAAATCTCGAGAGCAGTTGGATTTTTATTGGATTAGTGAGCCAATCCTTCTACTTATAGATGGTCATCTGCATCATACATTTCTGAGAGTATGGATAATCTGGGCCACCCTCCACATTACATCATCCTTCACTTGATCATATCACCATCCCTTTTGCCATATAAGATTAGGATGTGTACCTCCTTGGAGGCTACTTTTTTCAGCTTAACACAGATGTCCTTAAAGATGAAGAAGCAGTCAGTTAGAGAATTTTATTGCTCACACATACTTAAATGAAAGTGTTGGCTCTCTTTTAGTATTGAATCAATTTACCAGGAAGAACTATTTGGAATCTTGAGTAGCATCTTTAATAATAATCTTGGAAATAATAGAAAACTTTTAGGCTTTTATTCTTTTTAAAAAAACTTTTATTTATTATACTTTAAGTTCTGGGGTACCTATGCAGATTGTGCAGGTTTGTTACATAGGTATATATGTGCCATGGTGGTGGTTTGCTGCATCCGTCACTCTGTCATCTACCTTAGGTATTTCTCTCTTTAGGAAATAAAGGTATTTGTTTAAGGAGGTGTTTACATCTCTGATACATCATTGGTATGCAATGTTGACTTTTCTGTATTCAATTTCAGTTTTATTTCCCAGGAGAAAGGTGTGTTAGAAAAAGAGAGAATTTTTACTGTATGGCATCTGTTGAAAAGTGTATTTCCCTTAGGTGGCTATCCATTAGTAATCATTCCCACTTTTGATGTGCCGTTGTTGTTAGTTTGCTTCAGAGCTGGCCTTTGCATCCATTGAACTTAACATTTAATATTACTTCAGCACAACTTAAAAAAATGTAACCTATGATATTTACAGTGAAAGAAAAATTAGAGAACTTTTGCTTCAGTAAAATTTGTTGAATACTTGTGGAATAGGCACTGGGTTAAATGTTGATGTAAGGATAAAACATATGAATTCTAAAGAAGATAAGATACATGGGCAGACAATATGGTATCCGTGGAGATGGAAGGATGCTCCATCTGTGGTTTTACAGGAGGAGGGCCCACTTGAATGCCCACAGGTTTACCCCGGGGCCTCTGTGGGAGAAACGCTTGAGCGGTGTCTTCAAGTATAAGTGAGAGTTAGGTAGGCAGGAACTGGGAAACTGGTTATGGAGAAGGAACAATGGCCCCAGGAAATAAAACAAAAGGAAATTGGCTAAGATTCCCTAAGGGGTATTGATAAAATATGTAAAAATATGAATGAGTGTGTGTGCATGAGAGTGAGTGTGTGAGTGTGTGTTTGGTGCAGGTACTTCTGTTAACAGTTGGGATGCAAATCTTTTACCTCTTCTTCCTTCATTTATCCCCTTTCTCTGCTAGCAAATAAGAATATTGCATAAATGTTCATCTTCCTCAGGATCTCTCATCAAAAAGTTAAAGCATAACTTCAATTATCAGCATAAAAGAGGTTTTTAATACCTATTTTTAGATTGCATTTCAGCCTGGGAGAGCAAGACTCCTGTTCTCTCTCCCCCTTTTCTGTTTCTCTTTCTTTCTAAAAAAAAAAAAATCATACCACATTCATTATGTTACAGATTGTCTATGCTTCCTCTTTCTACTGCATAAAATTTTTTCCTGCTATACCCTCATGTATTTTTTATTGAGATGCTATATTAAGTAACCTCAGTAATACATTCTACTTGCTATATTTATACACACTATGTATATACAGTTGTCATTGTATATAATGCTTAAATTAACTTAGAAATAATTTCTAACTTTAAATATTAGATTATTTTAGGACAAAACATGTCTTGCATCTCAATCTGATGCCATCTTCCCTGCATTGCTTACTAGATTTTTATGAAGTTGGTAATATGTATGTAACCTACCATTTCTTTGTAGCTTTAATTTTAGAGTGCTCTTTTTTCAGTTAAGTAATTTAATATTTTTGAAAGGTTAAATAAATAAGTTAATTTGATTCCAGCAAAGTTGGAGAATTTTCTGAAGCTACTTACTTTTTTTACTTCATTAGTCAATTCAATTAGGTTTCTTATAGATAAATCATTAACAGCTAATAAATAATTATAATTAGAAGTGTTTCTCCCTTGCCAATTTATATACTATATTATGTTGGTCTTTTTAAATGTATTGATTAATTTTATCAGAAAAGTTCATATTACAGGCAGGAAATTAGTCATCATTGGGTCTTTTCTATAATGTGAATATGTACTCTATTTCCTCATTAAATACATCAAACTTTCAGATACATTGATAATGAATATCACCTATTTTCCCATTTACTGTGAATTCTTTGTGGAATTGGAATTAGATGTTGTTCTTTTTAACTTTTATTATAGCTTTGCGGGTAGATGTGAAAGTTTGTTACACATGTCACGGGGGGGTGTTGTACAGATTATTTCATCACTCAGGTATTAAGGCCAGTACCCAGTACTTGTCTTTTCTGCTCCTCTCACTCCTCCCACCCCCCTACTTTCAGATAGACCCTAGTGTCTGTTGTTTCCTGCTTTGTGTTCATAAGTTCTTATGATTTGTCTCCCACCTATAAATGAGAAGATGAAGTATTTGATTTTCTGTTCTTGCATTAGCTTGCTAAGGATAGTAGCCTCCAGCTCCATACATGTTTCCACAAAAGACATGATCTTGTTCTTTTTTATGGCTGCATAGTATTATGCTGCATGTTTCACATTTTTCTTAC